CAGTCTCAGCTTCACCGGCACGTCGGCCGTTTCGTACGACATTCAGACGCTCATCTCCGCTGGCGCGTCCGCCGCACACCTCGACCTCGCGCCGTTCGACACGTTTAAGGTGGCTGTGCAGAACACAGGCAGCGCGGTGTCGGACTTCGTCGCGCTGCTTTTTGTGAACACGACGGCGGGACCCGCGCCATTCCCCAACAAAGAGCTCATCTCGTACGCGCGCACCAAAGGCGTGGCGGCAGGGCAGAGCGCGACGGCGAGCTTGTCAGTTACCCTGGGCAGTATTGCACGAGTAGCCGACGACGGGAGCGCCTGGCTGTTCCCTGGGGACTATACCCTGCTCGTTGACGTTCCCACAGCAATCACGCACAATTTTGCGCTGACAGGCACCGCTGCGCAGATCATCAAGTTCCCCTCGGATCCGTCGTCGTCGTAAAATATCTTGAACGTGCTTCTTTCCTTTCGTTGCAATGAATTCCTGTATTCCGTGTTGTAAGTTTGATAATGGGGCGTGCCGCTAGATAACGCCTTGTCCACGCAGCTCTGCAATGCGCTCCGCGCTGTACCCAAGCTCTTCCATTACCTGTATCGTTGTGAGATTTAGGGCCAATGGACGCCGACACCCGCACCTCCTTAGTATGCTGTGACAGCCACGGCGGCGGGCGCGTCACTCTCATTTTCTCGCCGTTGTAAGACACCGCCGGTGCAACGAGCTTGATCGTCCCCGCGCGCGGATGCTGATTGGGTTGAGAATACATTAAACCAGAGTATGCACCAGCGCACCTCGACCTCAACCGTCACACCCCGGGCCACGGCCTGTGGATGCGCAAACGTCTGCTGGATGTTGTTGATCGGGCCAAATGGCACTCTGGCGACGTGTTAGTCGGACACTCGCATAAACGAGACGTTAACGCACCCTAGCCCTGTGAGCCGTTCGAGCCAGTGCGCGCGGTCATGCCGCATCAGCGCTTCCTCGATGATGCGCACGAGCTCTGCGCGGTTGGCCACGCGCGCCTCGTTCGTCGCAAAGCGCACATCCGCCATGAGCGCGGGATTACCCAACACCACGGTGCACAGGATCCCAAACTGCTTGTTGTTCCCCGCGCCGATCATGAGGAAGCCGTCGCGGCACGGAAAGACCTGGTACGGCACAACGGACGGGTGTGCGGTGCCGTGTCGCTTGGCCTCGGTGCCAGCAATAAGGTAATTGGACGCGATGTTTGCAAGGCCGGCGATCTGGAGGTGCGGTGTGAGGGGTGTTCATGAAGGAAGTGGGATGGGAATAACCTGCGTCTCGAAAAGGTTGCAGTCGATCCAGACGCCCTCGCCGGTCTGTTGGCGCGAGAGTAACGCGGCCATGATAGCACCATGTGCGTACAGGCCCGTACCGATGTCGGTAGCGGCAACACCAACCTTGGACGGCGGGCGGTCTGGTTCGCCCGTAATGTGCATCAAGCCCGCCTCGGCCTCGACGATGACATCGTATCCCGCTGCTGTGCGGTACGGGCCCGTTTGGCCGTATCCTGCTGCGAGGTGAGACGTGTAAGGTCAAGAGAAGAGACACTCACCGGTGATGGACGCGTATATGAGACGCGGGTTGATCTTGCGGCAGTCTTCCCAACCCAACCCCATGCTCGCAAGTTTTCCCGAGACAAAGTTCTCCACGAGAACATCTGCGCACGCAACCAGCTTGCGCACAATCTCAAGTCCGTCTGCGGCCTTGAAGTTGACCTGGGAAACGTGACGACGGACCGGCAACGACCAACTAGCAACTCACGGTCATAGAGCGCTTATTACGGTTGACTGCGAGGAAGTAGGCTGACTCCGGAGGGAGGTGCGCTGATTCCGGCGGTGCCGATGCGACAATAGGCGCAGAAGGCGGGTTCCAGGTTCCTGAGCGACGCGAGTTATAGAGGCACAAACTATTTGGTGCAGAGACATAGGTTACGCGTGTCGTCGCCGCGGGAAATCTCCTCGACCTTGACCACGTCTGCACCGAGGTCGGCCAGCAGCATTGTCGCCGTGGGACCTGCGAGCACACGCGTGAGGTCGAGAATGCGGATACCCTTTAATGGGGGCGGCATTCCAGTTGGCGGGCGCGGTTGGTGGGTTTGTAGGCATCGGAGATGGGTGAAGATGCATCCGCGGTTGCGCAGGTGAATGGTGCGTAGCATAGACCGCGACATGAGGGTAGGATGTAAGAGTGTTTTATTTAAACAAAGATAATGGGATTTCTGGCGATTTCAAAGAAGCTCTTGCAGCGGCATTCCCAGAGAAAGTAAGGAGTTGGATACTGGTAGGCAGTTTGCGGCCTTGTAGAGGTGCTGAAGAGATGATGCACAATGGTTCCAAGGACAGTTATTCCGCGATTGGGCCTGGGCCCTGTGAATAATCTGTATTACACCATGATGTCGACGCCGCTCGCAGTGTCGAGCTCGGTGGACCTGCCCTCCATTGCTCTCGTCTCTCAACTCCGGCGGCATACGCATCGAAGTGCGTGAACATGCTGCGAGTAAGTAGTCTCTCTAAGACAGATGCCGTAGTATCCACTCGCCGGATACATGTGAGCAACGTCCTTGCAATTCTTTCCTCGATACTCCCATACTATACATCCGCCTCTCGAGGCGACTCACGCTGACCCTGCCTTGCTCCTCAGTGGCCAGCGCTTCATTACGGGTCTTTACCTCCCCAGGACGACGACTTCCCTCGCGGGCTTCACAAAACAATTCATAAACGGAAAACCAAGGCAAACGATCTCACTGCAGCCCACTGCAGCGACACTCCCTCTCTAGACTTGGCCTTACCTGGGGGGAAATATTATAGAGCCGCTCACACGGTGAAGAAGCATGACACTGGTTGAATGCACTGCTCTTCTGGGAACTCCAGGCTTATGGATCCCACACTTTCCTGCGGCACTAATTCAGTTGCAAATAGAGTTGAAGCCCTTTCGAATGTTCGAAACTGCGTTTACTGAGAAACGACGATAAAATTCGGCACCCTAGCGACTTCAAGTACAACCCCCCAGGTATCCCAACTTTACCGGACAGTTCGTATCGTGTTCGTGTGTAAGTTGAAGAACCCCCTGAACATCGGTTTCCAATGAATACGTTCTCTAGATGGCGACTCAAAGTACTCAGAGAATCGACAGTTCTCATCGACCCCGAGGTACATAATTTGGGCCTCCCTGCGAACCTCGGCTTCAATTCCCAATTTCCGGATCCCAGGGATATAAAGAGTCACCTTCATAGTCGCTTTAACAAGTGCAGAATCCACGTACGCAAAGTCGCTACGCTTCCATATTGGTGAACCTGAGTCTGTTTAATCTGAGCCAAGCCTGCTGCCTCACAGAGTCAACCGTGGGAACCGTACTCTTATTGGCTAGGTCTCTGTCCGCTCCAGCTGCACACTCGCAGAGGCGACGACCACGACCCCGACGGTTCGCCTTCGCTTCTCACTGGTATGCCATGCAACAGCCCGACGACAAGAAAACGAAAGACCAAATTGAAGTCGCTGACGAGCTCGCTTTATCGAAACCTCGCTCGGCGGTTGAGGTCACTAATTACTACTTGCTCAGACTCGCTCTCGGCATGCTTCACCGGGCGCTACTTCGTATAACCGCTGACCGAAATAATATCAAAGGGCTTTGGCCTAGCAAGGGTGAAAACGGCCACTTGGTCTCTTTCTGGTCGCGGCGGATTCGTGATAACCAGATGTCGGGTCTCGTTGCAATCTGGACAACAAGAAAAGCCTCCCATGATAACAAATTTATCAGCGAGTATGAAAAGTGTAGCGAAATTTAAGCTGGTTCTGAGAGTGACGACGATACAGATGCAGCTATATCCAATTCTTGTTCTTCTGACCCTTCTGGACCCTTGGACGCAACATCAACTCCAAAGATTCATTCTCGTCGGGCTCACGCTGAGGAAGGCTCCCGTCCTTGCGCTTCATCCGGTCCTTGAGCTTCCGGGGTCGCTTCGGGGCCGACTCTATGTCATCAACACAGGAGGCAAGCGACTCCGGACCCACATCATCGGAGCCGCACGCAGGGCAAATTCGCGCATCGTCGAGGCGTCGTTTTTTAGACGGCTGTGTTTCAGGTTCCGTTGTCGTGAGTGGCTGTACTGCGCCGGAGTGGGGTATGGCATGAAAGATGTTATCTTGTAAATATTCATCCTGATAATAATTAAGACCATGGGATGCGGAGGATTAGGGGGTTGATAGACTGACAAGGGACCCGGTAGCCTCTGAATCCGCTTCAATCACTCCTTGGACAGTTGCTAATTTCACGACAGATTTCTCCGATGCGGTGGCACTTGTGTTGTCTACATCCCGAGTGGGTGGCACGTCGGCGGGCACTGGCTTTGATGAATCCTCCCCAAGATCCTCGGGCGGCGGCATTTAATGCTGATTGTGGAGGAATCTTGGTCGAGGTTAGCGAATGGTTGTAACAAAAGGGAAGATGTTTCCGATCCAGAGATGAATATACGTTTCGGGAGAAATGGAGGTTAGATGAGAGATGTCGGGATCACTGTTGAGCCAGGTGAAAAGTTAACGTGAACTTTAAAAGGGAAACAATGGTGTCAGATGCTTGTGGCCCGCGCTTTGATCTTCGTCGACATTTCTACCAATATTAATGGTCCTCGGCGATTCGGGAGTCCACGGGTTGGGTTATTAAATGAATCTGGGGGGATCCCCACATGTGTCCTGGGTCTATACACTCCGAAGGACCACTGACCGGGCGTATGAAAACCAAAAAAAAATCGGACAGACCTAGAATGCTTCCGCAAACTAAGTGCCTGTTGTTTCAAGCATTCTGGGCATTAAAATAGCTAGAAACCATGGGCTGAACGAGGAGTTGCACGCGGATCCAAGTGGACATGCCTAGAATGCCGCTGCAGGGCGAATAATTGTTATTCCAGGTAGTAAAATAGTAAAAAACCACTGGGCTGAAGGGGGATTCGGAAAAAAAATCATGGGGGTGACCAGGGATCCGGGCAAAAGGGCTGAACGGGGATTCGAACCCCGGACCTCCTGCAGTTGATTTACGGGGTTCAAATCCCCTCGCAGCCCGTGGACCCAAAGCAGGAATCGTGACCTCTAGACCATTCAGCCGTGAAAGGATGGCATTCTCATGTCATGAGGAGACAAGAGAACTGAGTACATTTGCCAAAAAAAAATCAATGGCGTGCTGGGGCCTTGTGGTACAAGTGTCTTAAGTCAGCGGTAGCGCCATGGGGCAGCCCGGGAGTGAGAGAATCGTGGCTCATGAGCATTGAGCAGGGTATAATAGTCTTCTTCCAGTTAACGATGGGTGTTGAGTAAGTTTACATTTCGAGCTTGTTGGCGTTGAAAGCCCCGTAATAAGATAGCTGGACCAAGCGGCTTCATGTCAACAGGTACGCCGGTAACTTGGCTTGGACTTACACAGGGCTTGAGTGGCACTCATGGACCTGGGCCTTGCGGGTACCTGCTACCGGAAAATCTACATCATGTTCCATGGCTTGGGGGTTGAGATACCTTGTACTGCCTGAAGGGCAACAAAGCTGTCAGCCTATTGTAGAGTGATCGCATACAAATACAGGTGTGCAGTTTTGATGACTTTCGTATCATCGTAGTTTGTAACTGGTGACGAATCATAAGAAGGGCGGCTCACGCATCGATAGGAACTCGCCTTGAGGAGCCCACAGCGCAGAGCGCCTCGCGATGGAGTTATTGTATTTGCTAACAGAGCCAGACAGCTGATGGGAAGCCCTATTTAGCCGAAGACGTTGCACGATGGACGCGTAGCCCGGCTTGGAGTGGTAAGTTCAAAGAAAACGTGTACTGCGCTGCGACATGATGATTGTGTGTCGAGGAAAAAAGGTTCAGTAGTAGAGCGGGATAGGAATGAGACTCACCCTCAAATCGTGATGGCGTAGCTATCCCAACCGTGTAGAGCGCGAAAGTGAGTAACGAGAAGCCCCGAGTAGCAATTCACGCATCCGCAAGCTTGTTCGCTGTGCTCGATATGTGCAGGCGTAAATAAAAGTCATCCCCTAATGTGACATTGGTTGTGTATAACTCGTTCGTAAAAGAGCCGCTCGGTACTCACCTTGACGGTGCATCCTTGGGCCCGCTTTTGAGTCGGATCGTTGCATGTATAATTGAGGCGCCTTGATTATACAGGCCAGGATCCGTTGTAGCAAATTTGACCGTCGCCAGCGGAGCGGTGACACAGTTTCCCGTCCCACACCTGTGAGAGAAGATACGGGGGTTGCCAACAGACCGCGAGAGAGCAACACGCACCAGTACATTGCAATTGCCGCAAGGGCGCATCCGTAGCCTCATCGGCGTGGTCTTGTGCCCCTGCGAGAAGCGCACACTGGTGATTTCGCGTGAAAAGAGGTGGAAGAGATAGGAAACGAACCGCAGATCTCCTCCCCACGCGGCGCCGGATAGGTTGCGAGTCTGCAAAGAACGATCAGTACGAGGCTCAGCGAGATGCAGACTACACGCGACGTACGAATTGGATGACGGTGCTGATAACGTTGTAAGGGTAGTCGGCGGTCTACAAGCGCGTCAGCGACGAGTACGGGAAAGGGGTGCAGCAACGCATCTAGGCGCGGGGACGGGACGACGACTGGAGGACGCGTAGACAGGATGCATTTGTTCGACGGGTATTGGGTGGGGAGGAGGGAAGCGCGATGGGAGGAAGTGAGGGAGATGGTGGGGGAAGGGGAGAAGGAGGCGATGGGAGGAAAAGAAAATCCCTCGACCTTTATACGAATACCAGCGATGACGCAAGACGGAGGGATGACGCGGCGGGATGAAGTAGTGCGGATGTGATCGGGCGGATAGAGTCTGACAGGAGAGCGCGTGCGTGCAGGCCACAGGAAACATAACGCATAGTCCTGGAATAAATGTGCTTGAGAGGCACAGTCAATACTTGTCATTGCGAGACGCGACAAGTCTTGCGAGAGGCGACAAGTCAAGTCTTGCTGAAGTCGCGTCCAAGCCTTGATGCGCCATCATGATCCCTTATAGCAAGTCACACGGTGTCACGAACTCAGTGATGGCCGGTGGCGGTGCAGAATTTTGGCTCATGGCACGTCCTGCACCATCACTGCCGCCGCCGAGCAAGAAACGCAAGATTCAAAAGGATTCAGAATTCGCGAAATCCATCCAACGCCTGGAAGAGCAGCTTACCACTGCGGCTGCCGCCAATACCTCATTAAATCCATTGGCGAACCTTTTGGACCTCACCTTCGGTGCAGACGATGCACAGGACACCTCAAAAGCCATATACGCATCCTACCGGGTGTTTGTTATCATCATCTCTGGCAGAAAACTTGCAGCAGGTGGCGACGAAGCGGCTAAAGTGGTTAAAGCCTGGTTATGGGACAGACTTAATTCCTATGTCGATTTCCTATGTGGCCTTCTGAAGGACGAGGAAAAACTGCTGCGTGTAACTCATGCGCTCTCTTTTGATCCTGCTCAGGGCTCACCTTTCCTCAGATATCGTCTCTGCAGATTTTATTTTCCCTTCAAAAGCATCTATCGACGTCTTTCAGCTCGTTGGACTCGCAGCCTCAATTCCATATTTCACATTTCCGGAGGATTGTCGCGGGCCTACTGCTATGTCCGTCTTCCGGAAGGTCGTCGTCGCAAATCAGCAATGGCCTACTCGATCCAGACGTCCTTTCCGCCTTTCATGAGACCTGGTTTAGCATCCACGACGATGTCCGGTGGTTCTTCCTTCGGGAAGCCGGGTATGTCTTTCTCAGCTACCCACCGCGCATCCACTCAATCTTTTGTTAGATCGTTGATGAATACAACCTCCATCTCTGACCACCCCAGCCTCCCCGTGAATCTCCTCTCCATTCTGGAAGGTCTCAATACCTTTCCTACTGAGAAGGCTGAGCTCAACGCATGGTGGGTATCGGAGATCGGCGCAAAACCGCCAAAGCCTAAACCGTCGAAGAAGGGCTCCACCACCGTGGATGATGAGTCGGAGGACGAGGCAGCCAATGACGATGACGACGACGATTGGCGCAAATTTTTCGACGAGGATACGACCTCTAAAGACGATAAACCCAAGGCACCGGGTACGAGGCTGCATAAGCTGACGCTACACCAGTCGTTGCATTCTCTACCGTCCCATCGGGCCGTTTTCACTCGTGCTTGGCTTGCGCTTCTCCCAAAGCTGTCAACAGTGCGGGACGCCGCGACAAGCAAAACTCTCTCGCTGCGCGCGCTCAATGTGATGCATCGTGGTGTTATGCCTCACTTGACGCGACCAGTCTTGATAATGGATTGGGTCGGTGGCAGCGTCGACTACGGTTCGTGGCCATAGCATCTATAATGTGGTACTTATCCATCCTCAATCCAGGTGGGACCGTCGGTCTGCTTGCTCTCAATGCGCTCTTCGTCTTGATGAAGGAATACAACCTGTAAGCTCCCTTCTGTCTCTTTGAACACCTGCTTCATGCTATTTACAGAGACTATCCTTCGTTTTACACAAAGCTGTATGCATTTCTTGATCGAGATGTCCTTCATTCAAAACACCGTGCCCGGTTTTTCCGCTTGACCGAGTTATTCCTGAGTTCCACGTCCGTTTTTATCCAGTATCTCTGCCAGACTCCTCCTCACCGAATCTAGTCATATCCCCGCGGCGCTACTTGCGTCTTTCATCAAGCGTCTCGCCCGCCTCTCGTTGTCTGCTCCTCCAGCGGCCGTCATCATGATCATCCCATTCACCTACAACACGCTCAAACGCCATCCTACCCTAATGGCCATGATCCACCGTCCCGACGAAGACGTCTCCACGGACCCGTTCGATCCAGCGGAACCGAATCCGCTCCTTACGCGCGCCATCGAGAGTTCCCTATGGGAGCTCAATTCGCACAAGGAACACTACCTCTCGGGCGTGTCGACGCTCACCAAGATCTTCTCCGAGGCGTTCACCAAACCCGGCTATTCTATGGAAGACTTCCTGGATCATACATACGGGACGGTACGTCCATTTCTGTCCTGCATTTGGGCGCGGTTCTCACCTGCGGGCGTAGCTGTTCGATGCAGACGCGAATCGTAAGATAAAGAAGGAACCGCCCGTGGCGGTAGACATGGGGAAGCATCTCGATTTGTTTTCAAGTCAGGTCGAAGTAGGGGATGTCGTTACCGATTTGTGGAGTTTCTCTGCTTAATTATGTGGATCTATGTACCCACCGCCTTTCTTCATCTTTCGGGTGGTATTGGTCGAACGGATGGTGCTCATCGAGTGACGATCGTAGACTTTGTTCCATAGATGCAACTCCGGAGTACATTATTGCGCTAACTATGACTCCTTCTCGGAATTCCAGCACGAATAGCCTCCATCAATGGTTCGGGATCGGTGTCCTCGTCCTCCCAATTCGACCACAGCGTGAACGCCACGTCAGACTGTAATGTGGGATATGGGGTCCACAACCAAGGGTCACCGACAAACTTGAGCAAGTCCGAGGCGGCGGTTTCAGAACCACCGCTATTGTTTGCATTGACCCCTCTTGAGATTCGAGCCAGGTCCTCTTTCAACCTCTCGGGGCCCCCGGGTACGAGCACTTCCAAACTTCTCATCCCCATGTGCATTACACAAGAAATGAATGAGTCGCGGAGATCTGGGTGCGTGGAAAGGAAGGATGGCGAGGCAACCAGCTCCTCTCTCCACATGGAAGGGGCAAGCATTTGGCGAAATGCTTCCGACATGCTTAATTGTTGGAATCTGTCGTCGTCGTCCTGACGGTATTTTTTGAAAAAGTCTGGCACGTCCCCGAATTCCATGTAACGGAAACTGTTGACATCGGGCATGCAATACACAAACCACTTGTATCTGATGACGCTGCTCAAGGGTTTGTGTTCGGGGAGTGGAAGATAGGCGAGCTCCAGAGAGTGGTGGAAAAGTTCGCCGTAAATGATCCATGACAAGAGGGTCGTTTCCGGATCGTTGCATACTGTCATAGGATTGCCCGAGCCAGGCCCTGCAGAGAGGTCGAGACGTCGGTTCAGCACATTCAGGACATCACATTTATATTTGTGTAGCCTGCGGATGTCATCCATGGTGAGCGTGGCGACCTCTAGGGCGAGCCCCAGGAGCTTAT